ACCATCAAAGAAGCGCGAACTCGGAGCTTTGTCCGAGGATGACGAATGTGACCTAGGAGAGGGAGCCCGGAAGCATCACAGATGTTCCTACATCGTGGGAGGCCCCCAAGGAGGGGACACATCGGGCGAAAGGAAGCGATGGGCTCGATCCTTGTACATCGGGGAAATTACCCGAGTACCTGCAGAAAAAAAGATGAGAAGAGATCCGATCTACTTCACTGATGATGACTTACCACCCATGCCACCACCGCATAGGGACGCCTTAATGATTAAGGTGGAGATCAACAATACAATCGTTCATCGAGTTTTAGTGGACAATGGAAGCTCGGTGAATGTAATGTATTATGACACATTCCATGGCCTTGGTCTGAGCGGGGCGGATCTGAGTCCGGTAAGAACACCTTTGTCCGGGTTTACCGGGGACTCAATCGAATCGGAAGGCAGTGTGGTGTTGCCCGTGGTGGTGGGTTCGGAACCCTGTGTGACGAGGTTGAACATCGAGTTCATCGTTGTACGTTTAACCTGTCCGCACAAAATCATCCTGGGAAGACCCGCGCTGGAGGACTTGAGATGCATTATCTCTCAGGAGCATTTATGTATGAAATTCCCCACTCCGAACGGGGTCGGGATAGCTCGGGGAGATCAAAGGATGGCCCGGAGTTGTTACATGAAGGCGTGCAAGCAACTCGGACAGAGGGACCTCAGGGTCCACACTATCAACAGCAAAGCCATGAAGTATGAGGATGGCCAGCTCCGCGCTGAGCCCACCTCCGAGGTTGAAGAAGTTCATATCGATCCCGGGCACCCAGAGCGAAAGATCAAAATCGGGCTGGGGCTCCCGGCCGGGATGAGAGAGAAGATTATCCAAGTGTTGGTCACGTTCAGTGTGATCTTTGCATGGGGCCCTGAAGATATGCCGGGGTTGGACCGGAGTGTGGCCGTTCACAAGCTAGCGGTCGACCCGACGGTGAAGCCGATCCAGCAGAAGAGGAGACACCTTTCGGTGGAACGAAGGGAATTCGTGAAGAAGGAGGTAGCCATGCTCTTGACTATCAAACACATCAAGGAAGTATTATACCCGGAATGGTTGGCAAATGTGGTCCTGGCACCGAAGCCCCCAACTTGGAGAATGTGCGTCGATTACACGGACCTCAACAGGGCATGCCCGATGGACCCCTTTCCTCTACCTAACATCGATCAGCTAGTAGACGGGACGGCCGGGTGCGAACTCCTTAGCTTCATGGACGCATTCCGAGGGTATCATCAGATATCCATGCATGAAGATGATGCGGAGAAGACCTCGTTCATCACCCCGGAGGGGATCTTTTGCTATCTAGTTATGGCTTTCGGCTTGAAGAACTCCGGGGCGACATACACGAGAATGGTTGCAAAAGTGTTTCGAACAGTGCTAGGAAGGAACATGGAAGCGTATGTAGACGATATGATCGTGAAAAGCGTACGAGCGACTGACCATGCCGACGACTTAGCCGAGATTTTCGGGATCATGAGGGCAGTCCGACTGCGCCTGAACCCGAAAAAGTGCATGTTTGCTGTCCAGGGCGGAAAGTTTTTGGGGTACATGGTCACCCGGAGAGGGATAGAGCCGAACCCCGAAAAAGTGAGAGCAATCCTTGACATGGAACCTCCGAGGTCGGTGAAGGAAGTGCAAGTTCTCACTGGGCGGCTGGCATCACTTGGGCGTTTCATGTCAAAGTCAGCGGAGAAGTCCCTACCTTTCTTCCAGGTTTTGAAAAAGCAAAATGGATTCGCATGGACGGAGGAGTGCCAACGTGCATTCGAAGACCTGAAGAAGTATCTTCTCTCTGAGCCGCTTCTGAGTAAGCCAAAGAAGGGGGAGACGCTGATATTGTACTTAGGAGTATCGCAGGGCGCGATCAGCTCCGTGCTGGTCCGCGAGGAAGACGGCATTCAGAACCCCGTATACTATGTGAGTAAAACCTTACAGAATGCGGAGTTGCGATACACCCCGCTGGAGAAGACCATTTATGCTGCATACGTTACGGCAAAGAAGTTAACTCATTATTTCCAAGCACACCCGATCAAGGTCCTTTCGGATCAACCTCTGGGTGCAGCTCTGAGAACCCCCGGGACGACACGGGTTGTGAAGTGGTCGATGCTTCTCAACCAGTATGAGGTGGATTTTCAGCCTCGATCGTCCATCAAGGGGCAGGCGCTTGCGGACTTCATCGTAGAGTGCACGGCAAGGGAGGTTACCGAAAGGCAGAGAGATAGTGAAGAACACTGGTGGACCTTGGCGACCGATGGATCGTCCGGGACAAAAGGCTGCGGGGGTGGGATCGTCCTCACCTCACCTGAGGGATTCCGGGCGTACTACGCCCACCGCTACCTATTCAAAGTCTCGAATAATGAGGTTGAGTATGAGGCCCTACTATCGGGGCTGCGACTGGCTGCGGCCATGCGGGCAGAGTGGATAACAGTGAAGTGCGACTCCCGGTTGGTCGTATCTCAAGTGAAAGGCGATTTCGAGGCAAAGGAGGAAAGGATGGCAAAGTACAGGGATGCCGTCCGGGAATTACTCGGGTTGTTCAAACAAGCAGAGCTGATCTGTATTCCGCGGAGCCAGAATGGGGATGCTGACCTCCTATCCCGTCTATCCCAGGGGCTACCCGAGCACATATCCAAGATTGCTCGGGTCGAGGAGGTGACGACATCGAGCATAGCAGCCTCACCCTCGGTAACTGTGCTTCCTCTGCAACCAGTAGCTTGGAGTTGGGTGGACGATTTGTTACATTACATAGCCGATGGTACGTTACCCGACCAAGAGGAGGAAGCGAAGCTCGTCCGGCGACGGGCCCCGAGCTATGTCGTCCTGGACGGTAAGCTATACAAGCGATCTTACAACGGAGCATTGTTGAAGTGCCTGCGACCACATGAAGCAAACATGATCGTCGCGGAGTTACATGGTGGGGTATGTTCGGCCCACCAGGGAGCTTGCACCTTGGCCAGGAAAGTGGTCCTCCAGGGATACTTTTGGCCCACAATCATGAAGGATTGCGCTGATTATGCAAGGAAGTGCAACACCTGCCAGAAGTTTCAGAAGAGCCCCGGAAGGCCGGCAACTATGTACACGCCTATTAGCACCGCTCTGCCATTTACCCGGTGGGGCATAGACTTGGTTGGTCCCTTACCGAACGGAGCGGGGAATAGGAAGTTTGTCATCGTGGCCGTGGACTACTTCACGAAGTGGGTGGAAGCGGAGCCGCTCGCCAGCATAACGCATCTGCAGTGCAAGAAGTTTATATGGAAGAATATCTTTTGCCGATTTGGGGTCCCTTTGCAAATTATTTCCGACAATGGAAGGCAATTCGACTGTGAACCGTTTAGGCAGTTCTGCGCCGAGTGGGGCGTGGAGTCAAGTCGAGTATCTGTTTGCTATCCCCAGGCAAACGGGCAGGTGGAGAATACCAATCGCACGATCGTAGACGGGCTCCAAAAGAAGTTGGAAGCCCTTGGAACGGCGTGGGTGGAAGAGCTAAGTAACATACTCTGGACGTTCCGGACCACCCCCAGGAAGGCGACGGGCGAGACTCCTTTCGCTCTGTGCTATGGCTTCGAAGCAAGGGCACCCTTCGAGGCAGTGATTCCCAGCCGACGGGTGGAAGAGTTCGAGCCAGTTGACAATGAGGAGAGGCTCAGAGCCGAACTCCACCTCATAGAAGAAAGAAGAGACCGGGCGTTCATCAAAGCGGAAAATTATCGCAGGCAAGTAAAAGCGTACCAGGACAGCAGGGCAGCACCGCGAAGTTTCGACGTAGGCGACTATGTGCTGAGACGAAGGAAGGCAAGCAAACCGACAGAAGGGGGAAAGCTCGCCATTAAGTGGGAGGGACCCTATGTTGTTGAAGCCGTGGTTGGGCCAGGAACTTACAAATTAAAGACTACGACGGGAAAGCTTATCGACCGCGTATGGAACGCAGAGCATTTACTTAAGTTCTATCAGTAGTGATTTGTAATAATTGATCATTTCCATTATTTCTAGCATTGATCATTTCGATTATTTCTAATAAATTCATTTCTTTCTTCTTTCAATATTGAACTATATGAGGTCCGACCTCACTTGGGAACAAACGGGCAGAGCAAAAAAAAAAAAAAAAAAAAAAAAAAAAAGGAAAATAATAATAATGATAATAAAACTCATGTTCTGCTCTCGGTGTTTAGTCGACCACGGCTCGATCCTCGGGCAAGGAGATGACCAAACTATTCTTCAAGTCCGGAATTAGCCGCTCGGTCAGGGCGACCGCAAGACCGACCTCCGGGTCGAAAAGGTGTGCGAGAAATGTGCTCCGAGCCCCTCTCGCGCATACGTTGTCTGGCGTTGCTGTCTAAACAGCTCGCACTCTCGTTTGATCTGTTCGAGGATGCGGCAACGATATGACCTGGTCCCCGGGCCGAAGATATGCGAGAGGTCGTGCTCCGCGCCCCTCTCGTACGTCTATCGTCTAACGTTGCTAGGCCTAGCAGCCCGCATACTCGCTCGATACAGTCAACGGTGCGGGTCCGTTCTAGTCTGACCATATAGGGCCTTGCCCTTACGTTTGGCCGACTTTAGCTCGATTTTCAGAAAGGGATGATTGAATTTCTCCTAAGTAAGAAATTAGCTATACAAGTCAAGGTGTAAGACTGGCCTACGGGTCGAAGGTGCGCGGGGTGTTGAGCTTTGAGCCCTTCCCGTACATCCATTGTCTGGCCACCCGCCAAACGGCTTGCTCGCCAGTTGGTCTTAGACCGACGGTGTGCGGGTCAGCCCGCTTTTCCAAGCAGGGCGCGGTCAAGGTTGGCCCTGCCGGCTTTCCGCCCCTCATGGCTTAGGCGGGGAGCTAGATCCCCGATTAATTTCCCAGGTGGTCTCGGATTAAAGATGATTACATGAGGAAGGAAGATGAACAAAAGTGCAAATATGAGATTATGTGACAAAGCAATCTGTGAACGGCCTACCAATCAGGCTATATATTTGTGAATCCAGACAGAAGTGCGGGATGAAAATAAACAAGTAAATGAATAAAGAACAACAAGGAGAGGCCACAATCTACGATCTAGGGATCAGGCAGATTGTCGGGAACACTATCTAGGACGGTCACAAAATCAAAGGCGTGTGACGAATCCTCCAGGTCCTCTGGAATATCCAGGTGCAAAAGGGACAAACCATTCGCTTGCTCGTCGGCCCCGTCAGGATCTGGCATGATTTCGGGCAAACCAAACTTCCCGGGATCGAAGTCTGGATAAAACTCTGCCAGCCTATCGTACAACATGGTCTGCATGTCGTATCGGCCGCACCTGAAGGACATGAGAGTTTCCTTATCCCGCCAAAGCTGACCCTCATCAGTTTTCAACCATGCTTGGACCTGCTCCGAGCGGTGAGCCTCCAGCCTCGAAGTGATGATCTCAAAAAATTCTGGGGATGTTTGGAATGCCGCAACTGCCTGACGCCCCGCATCCGTGAACAACGCCTCCAGTCGATCGTACTTTGATTGTAGCAAGTCATATTTTGACTGGAGCTCGGACAGAGCGGCTGCTGCTTCGTCCGCCCGACGCTGAACGGCAACCGAGTGGCGGTGAGCCTCGTCAACCTGATGCCGGAGCTCCTCACGATGGCGACCTATTGTTTGAAGCGCGGTTGCTATGTCCATCAGCCCCTGCAGGAAACATGGAGTTAGTGAGTATTATAACAACAACAATAATAATGATAATAACACGACCTACCGTGCTGTGAGATTCGATGGAGCGCGCCATATCCAAGATCGATGAAACACCGAGGGTAGAAGCTGGATGGTTAACAGGAGGAGCCTTGCATTGTTTTCCCGCGATGAACGGAATGGCCTCGGGGAATACGCTTCCTGCCCACGCTACACCCGAAGTTGGTGGAACACTAAGGGCGGGAGCTGGATGGTTGACGGGAGGGACCCCGCATTGTTTCCCCGCGATGAAGGGAATGACCTCGGTCCTCGAAGACCGGAACTTGGCGTCCTCCTCTGCGGCCAGGGCGGCGAGCCTGCCCCGCATACCCGCAACCTCTGCAAGAAAATGAATAGGGTAAAATGGAATAGTGCCGGTTGAACTATTTCTCCGTTCCCGAATCAAAGAGGAGGATTCACACCTTTCTTCTTCTTGCGAACTTGTTCTTCATGACGTGGGGAAACCCCGATCTTCACCCCGGCGTCGACCTCGGGCATGGTGGCATCAGACACGCCCTTGCTTGCACAGGGCATCACGGACTGGGGGGCGACACCCTGCATTGTAGCCAAGGGAGGGGGCACGGCAACCCTGCTTAACATACCTGCAAAAAATAAACAAGAGGGTGATGAAGTCATTTCAGCCGGGGTTTTCTCCTCTTGAATTAAAAGGGAGTTCGCACCTTCTTCGTCCATGGCAACCTGCTCTTCACGGGACGGGGAGGCCCCGCGCTTATCCCCAGGATCGAGCGAACATGAACCCGCACCAGGCGCAGAAGGTGGAAGCATGGTCCCCGATGGCACCTTGGGGGCGGCAGCTTCGTCTCTGTTGCCTGTTACACCAGAAAATATCACCAAATTAAGGGATGATTTTATGTGGTATCTGTGACCCGCGGAGGCAGAAGATTTTTACCTATATACGAGTTTACCGGGAAAGGGCCCCCTTGGAGCAAGGTCTCGACCTTCTCCTCAAGGTCGGGGGTGAGAGAGACAGGCTTATACTCGCGCATTGAATTACCCCAGGTAGACGTGACGGGAAGCGAGCGGGGAGCGGACGCCCATACCCATTTATTCGACCACTTCCTAGGTGATTCTGGGTACTGATCAAAGAGCTTACGATGCGGTGATTGGCAAAGTGACACGAACCCACCGTCATCTGTCTTACTGTTAGGACGGTTCCACCTAAAGCATGCACGGAACAACGGTATGGATGGTCGGATACCAACCCCATTACAGCGAGCGACAAAAGCAGCTGTAAACATATGTGCGGTTGGGGTCATCTGGCATGGCGATATCCCAATATGGGCAAGGAGTGCCACCAAGAATGGACACAAAGGCACCCGCATGCCCCGCGCGATGGACGTAATGTGAACCCCGAAGAACGATTTCGGAGGGGGACTAGTGAGGCTACTCTCGGGATCTGGCAACATGAGGGTGCAATCGCTGCCGACCATACTTTTTGCCAACTTCAAATCTGCCTCTGTACTGGTGGAACGCAAACGATCTTTCCAGGCGTTAGGATCTTCGACGCTATCCGATCCGCCGTCTGATTTGGATGAGCTATCCGATTGAGAGGCAACGTCCACTACAGGGGCAACATTGTTAGAGGATAGCACGGGCTTGTCATGTGGGCCCCCCGGAGCAGGCCGGAGATGTCCTTTAACGATCACGATCCGCGTAGTGGGTCTGTCCGGCCGCAATGAGGTGGTAGTTGTTTCATGCATCGTAAGATTTTCGGAGGCTCCTTGATTTTTCCCTGATGTCGAAGATTCGGGTTGAGACATTGCATTCACCTCGCTGGCTTGAGTCCGTTTAGTCGGGTCTCCATGCATGGACTTTTTCCCCACCTCGTCGGATCGGGATCGTACGGTCGAGCCGCTTGGTGATGACCGAATGTTCACACCGCTGGTTTGGGTTTGCACGGCCACGCATCCAGGTGACGACCGTACGGCCGTCTCGCCACGACGGGCTCGTGCAACCGAATTCCCAGGTCGTGACATTACGTCCACCTCGCCAGGTGGGGCTCGCGCAGACAATACCTGACCCGCCGGATGTTGCTGGGAATGTTTGGCAGAGGAACGACGTTCGCGGGTGGAGACGGCACCATGATGACCTTCGTGTCGCGGACTGCGTTGAGAACCCGTGCGAAGGCCTGGAACAGGAGGAGATAATGACCGTGAATCACTGGGCTTTTTCCGACCGCCTGGGCTTCGCGTTTGCGACGGCGAACGACGTCGTGGATGACCCTCCCTCCGGCGCGACGGAGAAGGGGAGCCGCTGCGTTTCCTTCGTCGGCTGGGGATGGAGTGCTGCGGCGACGTCATGGCTGCGGCTGGAGCGGCTGAAGCTTGGGGGGACCTGGAAGGCTGAAGCGCGTGCGGATGATCGATGGTGTTAGGGCTGGGCCACGCTTGGACGCAAGGAATTTAAAAGAAAAAAAAAAAGGAAAGAAATTATTAATTAGAATAGCTCCGGGCTATTTTAGGAAGCCCGTCGGGGGTTTCTTTGACGTGCGAGTTGACCAAATTAGCGGCATACCAATTGGGCTAATTCTTTACTGGTCGGATCGAAATATACGTGGCGAGGTCAAATATACAGCTACAGAAAACAAGGCCCACACTTTGGAATTTCAGGCCCAAATTATTGAGACTGATGGGAAACATTGCGTACCGTCGGGCCGGGGGCGACTCCGCCCCCCCGGACCCCCAGGCCAGGGGGCGCATCGCCCCCCTGGACCCCCCGACTCGCTGACCGGGCAGCGAGACCCCCGTCCTTTCGCAAGCAGTGGGGAGCAAGCAAGGGGGCCGATCAAGACCCGCGAAAAATAGCCCCCTCCGGGCCAACGATTACATTGACGAGCCCCCCCGGGCTGCTATAACAAAAGTGCGGCTAGCCAGATAATCCAATAGCCGAACCGACCTTTGGGCAGCTGCTCAACTACTCCCTTCTAGCCGAGTCTGCTACTCGACTAAGGGAGTGGGGGACTCGTGTTGGGATAATGGGCCGGGTCCAATACTATCGACCCGATATGCATGGGCTCGGGCGTGAACCAGGCCCAGCACACGGTCCGGCTAGAGAATATGGTCCTTGGATTGATTTGTTTAGCTCTTGGGCCGACCGACCCATGGACCTTAGATCAAGCTTCTTGTTTTAGTTGTTTAACTGGGCCAAGCCCATTAACTTTAGACAAGCCTCTTGTAAGCGCCTATAAATAGGCCGCTCCCCCCCTTGTATTGGGCACGTCACTTTTATCATACTGAATTGCTGCCGAATTTTCTACTCAACATATTTTCTACCAACAGATATGTTACAACCTACTTCGAATATTATACGTATATTGTAGGAGACCGATATAGGTATACTATCATACTATACGATGATACAACATTTTTACTCAACTTGATTGATTCACCTTGTTGTATCCAAGTATATGTCGGAGTAGTGAAAATTAAATCCAGCAGCTTAATTAGTTATTTTGAGGATTACTATAATTATCATTATCATGCAACATTGTTCTTGGCCTTTTACATCCTTCACTCCCCGATCCATATGCACTACGATTCACCACAGATTTCAAAGCATTTCGGAGAAACAATATGGACTCTTCCGCACTAGTGTGTTCGCTACAATCTCCCGAGAGGATGAGTACGTTGCTGATCCTCCCCCCGAGAGTCGCCATCTCGGCCCGCAACGGGCTGAGACGGAGAGATTTGAGGGTGTGGATCAGGTCGGGGAAAAGGTCCAGACGGTCTTCGCAACAAAAGGAGGCCTTGATTATCAATCTTCCACCATGTCCGGTTGCGAATTCTTCGCCATTGTCTCTGGAGAGTGTTATCTCATCGTTCTCCGATGGGAGGAGGCCGGTTTCGGTTTGCATGAGTTGAGATGCCTCCTCTTTGAGCTCCCTCAGCCGTGAAACCACTTTGGCTAGTAATGACGCTTTATCTGTCTGTTTGTTTACCCATATATGAAGAAAACGCACACATCAAAGAACGGGTATAAAGCAAGAGTACAAACTATTTAGGGGCTAGGGGAGGGGGCCTGGAGTAATCATCAGGGCTGAAATTCACTTCATTGAGTTTCGAACCATTATATGCTTAGCGGGTTTCGAAATCGAGACCTCCCACTAAGCACGGTAACCTCAGAACCAGCTGAGCTGGAATGCTTGGGTTGAGTACAAACAATTATTCACTTCTTACATACAAACTACGTAGCATATTTAATTTGAGCACTAATATTTTCTTATCATATTCAAAAGGTTTAATGTACCAAATCCCCCTGTGATTTGGAAATTCGGCGCATTAGTTCCATGTGATTTAAAAAATGCGTCAAACCCCCTTGTGTTTTAATTAATCATGTGCCAAATCCCTTATGTGAACAAATTCAATTGTCAAATAAAAGAAAAATGATTAACATTTTTGTATGATTCAGAGATTTTGACATATTTATTTGCATATTCAATCAAAATATTAGGAAAAGTGATTTTCAAATCATTAAATTTATTCATAAAGGGGGTTCTGTGCATGATTAATTAAAACACAAGAGGGTTTAACGCATTTTTTAAATCACAAGGGGCTAATGCGCCGAATTTCCAAATCACAGGGGGGTTTGGTGCATTAAACCCCATATTCAAATTCAACTCTTGTGATTCAATAAAACATGTAATTTAGTTTCTAACTAGTAACTACCTAGTATAAATTTCCATATTATTAGACCACTCATTCTCAGGGGTGGAGACAGGGAGGGGCTGGAGGGGGCCACGGCCCCTACAAGAAAAAAATTATTAAGTATATATTATGTATAAATACTTTTAATCTATAGAAAATATGTTGATATTTTAAATTTTGGCCCCTGCAATGTAAAATTTTTAAAGACCGGCCCCTTCAACCATATATTTCTGGCTCCGCCACTGCTCATTCTTCAAACTCCATAATCAACAATGGGATTCTCATTTCGAAGTATAGCTTTTATAGCATATGTAAAGTACAGTAATAGGTGGCAAAAGTGTCACAATATATCAAATGTAACATTTTTTAGTATGTTGCATTCGAATGGTGCTACAATAAATGTATTGTACTCCGTAGCAATTTATCATTTTATTGTAGCATTTCTTAGTACAATAATGTTACAATAGATATTATATTGTAGTTATTTTTACCATGCTACAAAATAAATGCTAGAATGGACATTTTTTGTACTAGAATTTGATTTGAATGCAAGGAGTACGTGTATAGGGAACAATAAATAAATAAATAAATAAATAAATAAATAAATAAATAAATAAATAAATAAATAAATAAATAAATAATGCCTCAACTACTTTTTGGAATTAAAACTTCGAATTTAGTAAGTTGTACTTTAACATGTGGTGATGATGACTTAACAAGCCCGCAAAATGGTAGTTTGATGGACTTCACCTAGCTATCTGGAGTCCACGTGTTTCTTTGAGGCTTCACAAAATCTAAGTATTCTTTATTTGCAATTTTATTCCTGTAACTTTCGACTGTTATTGTTATTGGTCCTCTAACTTTAATCACTTGTAAATTTGATCATGTAACCAATAATCTTTGCAATTTAAGGATTATTCAACCTGAGAGTATACTATTTTAGTTCTTAAATCTCAAATATTAATTACAAGACCAAATTTGCAAATGACTAAAGTTATGGTTCCAATAATGAAAACATCTCAAAGTTACGGGATGACAATTGAAAATTTCCCTAATCTTAATTGACTATAATAAGTACCATTTTAAGAGTCCGTTTGGTAATACTGAAATTGACTAAATCAGCCGATTATGCTGAAATTTATGAAGTTCTGAACGAAGTGGCTGGATTAGTTGATTCTGCTGATTTATGAAAAAATTCTATTTAAAATAATTTTTATTAATAAAATAAAGAAAAATTTATATGAAAAATAGCTAAAAGATCATCTACAGTAACTTTAGCCAATACAGCCAGAAAAATAACTTCAACCTTACTTTTTCATATTATTACACAATTCAACGTGCGGAATCAAAAGTTACGTGTTTGGTGAAAAAGTTAACTGATAAGTTTGATAAACCGAAAACCAGAGTCGGCAAAGGGTGTGAGTCTAAAAGTTAACCGGGAATGAGTATTCCAAAACTTTATACGTATAATAGTAGTATATTGGTTTGTGTTTTTTATATTGATTGATGATTTAAAAGTTCGTTAGCCAAAAGTAGATTGAAGCATACTTATCTAATAAACTTATGCATGCATGTGAGATTGAATGAATATAAAACATTTTAAATCAAGATGTGTGTGTGTAAAAAATTGAGAAAATAACCAAAACCTTGGGTTGAAATATAAATACGAAACATGAAAATTAAAACCATATTCATTGCACATTACGGGATAATTTACTATACTACGGAGTGTGATAAGACAAATGATTGAATGGTGAGTTATGATTGGCCGGGGAAAGCATGTTTAAGATTATGATTATGTTGTGAGAGACTGAAAGTAGACACGGAGGGTAAAAGATGTTAGATAGATAGCCTTCTAAGTAAGTTATTAATTAACGATTTCAACTTTTTTTTTTTTTTTGAAAATACTTAACGTTTTCAACTTATCAAATGATGTTCGTTGTCCAGAAATTGCAATATAGAAAGGTGTGAAATGCGAGGTAATGTTTATGAGCAAATTATAAATACAATTGAAAACTAAAGACACATAAAACCCATAAGGGAAATTGTACCGTGCCTTTCTTAATTTATAAGGTACCGGTACCAAACTTTTTAAACCAATCAAATTAATGTATCATGCCATCTCACCATCCAGGCTGTATTAGATCGTGATTCTATTTAGGGGTGGGATCGACCCGAATAATGATCCTGGTCCGGGTTGTTTATTTTTAACCATGGGTTCAGATAATCCCTATTATTTCGGTTCGGCCACCCCATCTCACCATCCTCGCTGTATTAGATCGTGATTCTAGACCTTGGAAAACATTCATGTATATATATATAATGCAGTTAACACCAAACGTAATGTGTGCTTCAAGCATTAGACTAATATAAAGGTGTTGGGAGTTTTGAAATTGATTTTTATGATCAAATACTAAAACTCTTAACAAACGTTCTCTTTTATGCAAGATTGACTCTGAAGAAAAGGTAAAAAAAGACAATTTGCTCCTCATGTGTTGTTGTGAAGGATTATGGTGAAGACGATGAGTGTTCTGCATAATTGATAATTTTGAAAAGAACCTTTAATTTGAGGGATTAAATTGCAAATAACAGAATTAATATGACATGGCAATTTACTATAATTTGATTGGTTAAAAATAGGAATGCACCGAAACACTAAATTTTGAAGTGCACCATAGACGAACCCAACACATAAACCTTTAAATTTATGAGCACACCTTTTCCATACCAGTAAAATATGAATCAATAAATTATACTCCGTAGTAGAAAGATATCGAGTTACTGTTTAGGACGTAATTCGAGTCTTAGCAGTATTCAAATAAACACATAGATTGTGAGGAAAAATTCAATTTGTAAACACTTGACACACATTTGTATTTAATTGTTTGTTCACACGGACAATGTGTATACCCCTAAGTTACTTGTGCGCATAGGCCATTCACGCAACCAATTGTCTGTATACATATACAATTATGTAC